GGAAAGAATTTAACTTTTAAACACAGAGTGCTGGAGGCAGGGAGATACCTCTCACATTGTGTTTAGATCGTTTTCTTAATCTAAACATGATGCCAAGAACCCTTTCTAGGGAAGTGAAACCAGCACGATCTAACTTATAAATAGCTCAGAACTGCTCGGCAAGGAACAAAAATACTAAACTAGGCGCTTCTGCTACCAGTAGTGGCTTTGAAGGATGCTGTCACCCCGTCTTCCTTACACCCTTTCCCCAGTCATTGTAGGCAGAAACAATGCCATCTTTCCTAAAGGAAACAGGCAATAAAAACTCCTTTGGGGTTTCCTATTCAGAGTTTTCCCATTCATACCCGAAATGGGCAGGCCCCTCCCACCCCAAGCTGCAGTCACGGAGATCAGGGGCTTACATAGCTGATTTTCCTAAGCAGGGTGCAGAAACTGCCTTTTCATTTCAACAAAGCTCTTCTTTTTTCTTTTCTCTTAAATTGGTCTCTGTTTCCTGTATCTTACAAACCTCTGACAAAGTATTTAAAATGTCAGTGCCCAATAGTCTTAAAAATTCTTTGTGATTGCATTTTTAAAAAATTAATAAGGTAGAATTTTTTCTTTTACTCCTCTCTTTTTAAAGAAATGTTATGCTTTATTGAGGTACAATCTTGCTGCTTTACAGTATCGATAAATGCAGGTACACCTGCACTATAAAATCCACTTTACATGAAGCAAGCCATTCCTGTTTTATGGTCCATTTTTCACCCATTGTTCTCGAGCCGTGTCATAGGTGTGTTGTAATGTGCTAGGGAGGTGGATGCCTCAAAGATCAGTTTAACAAAATGTTCTAATTTTGCCAACTTTAGTGCCAAAATCTGGATTAAAAAAATGCAAGGCTAATATCCCAGTAGACACAAGATATGATGTCACTTCCCTGAAAATGGCCAAGGTAAACATCTATTTCCAGATCACTTGCACTTACAACATGAATTCTACCTCTTTTTCAATCCCCAAATTACGGTTCCTGTTTTCTAACAATTTTAATGTTAACCTGGTTGACACTTGAACTTTCCTGACTTTTCTCAGACTCAAAGATTTTATTACATTGCTGGTGAAGGAGGCAAAATTCCATCCCAAATATAATGACACTTTTGAAACTTGCAAACCTGAGAACTTTTAAAAATGGTGTGAGGCAGATTGAACAGTCCTTCTGACTAAAGTGTGTACACAGATGTGCCACTGAGAATCCCACGATGTGGCCAGACAGAGCCTTGCCACGAGATGCTTGCTGATTTGATGCTCTTTTGCCAGGAGGGAAGCTTCAAGTTTTGTTTCCCTTCTTCTTTAAACAGACAGGTAAGTCCATCCACATCACTGAATGCATGCAAATTTAGTACCAGAAATTCTTTTTTACAATAAATCAGCAAGTGTTTACAGTAGGTCTGTTTTATTTGGCAATGCTCCCTAGGGATATCAGAGAATAGCTCTACTGCTCATAGACAAAATAATTTAAGTAGCTACCATGTGGCAACTTCTGTGCAAGATCCGAATCCACGGGCCATTGGTGCATTTCACTGTTACATTCATTCCACAGATTGGGAAATTGCAAATTAGCTACAACAGGTTATATGAAGGTTGCTGCTACTGAAGATCTTACTCATACGTGCTCTCATGTGCTAGGTGCTTCATGGGTACTAAACAAAGACCTGAGCTTTTTCTATAACCCTCTGAGTATTGTGTAACCCATTTCACAGATGAGGTAGTTATAGGTGAAATAAATTGAGTTACTTGGCAGCACAGGCTAACATGAAGATTCAGAGCCAGATTCCATGGCCTTGTCTTAGACATGCTTTATCGTTGCCAGATGGGTGTGCATCCTCCTGGAGTCACTCCATAGGAGCAAAGACCAAGATACCGGTTGCTCATGTGTATCTCTATGTGTGGAAGGACACAGAGTAACCCAGAGCCCTGTCAGATGGACAAGCTCAGGGATACAAAGGCTCTGAGGACTGAAGTGTTGGAGAAAGTGGGTTTGAATGGAATTAGGAGAAGAGATGAGGTTGTACTAACAAAATGGTTCTCTGACTCCTTATCTGATCACATCTGCTCCCTCAAATTCTTATCCAGCTTGCTCTGGCCAGACTAGTTTTTGCACTAGTACACACTCCTGGGTGATGGCAATGTGGCCTGATAGAGGTGTCTCAACCATCTGGCACAGTCATTATTGGTTCCTCCTCTTCCTTCCCCTCCTTTTCCTCCTCCTCCTTCTCCTACACATACACTCTATAATTTATTCTTTCCTTCTCTCTCTCCCTTTCTCCTATTTTCTCTGTGTATATGTACATACACATATATAAGTAAGATATTTTATTCATGTAATTATGTACAGAGATCATAAATAAAATATTGCTAGTTAACTTTTAGTTCGCACATCTTCCAAGTGAAGCCAGCTGCTCTGTGAGATTGGGTCCTGACACACAACCCCCTTTTGCAGGGATGGAGTGGGGACTGGTGTCTGGCTCTGGAAGTGCCGCTTGCCACTGAGGTTTCATAAGCTTTTAACCACAGGGAGCAGAAGGGAGATCCTGCACTTGGAGTTGCATGGATTCCGTTCTCTATTTCTTTCCCTTGAGATGGTGGCATGAGATCTTATTCCTGTGTTGGTAGCATGATTTTTTGTCTGGAAGCTATTGTGAAGACAAGTGACCTGAG